ACTTGTCAATATGTTTACTTCAAGAAAGAAGATGCAGAAAGATAACAATTCTGAACCGACTGAATTCGAAGAGTCAGTTGCACAAGTAAGCTATGCAGCTGTTTGCTTGCTGTCTAGTCACTTAATTGTTACAATTTTGAGTTTTGACCATGAGTTGCTATATCTGCAGGCAGTAATTGAATTGGAAAGTAACAGTGACCTGAAAAGTGACCTGAAGGATCTATATATCAACTCAGCAGTGTAAGAATGGTTTACTGAATTTATATGTATTATGAACTGTTGCCTATGGTATGAGTTGTATTCTTCCTTTTTTTTGCAGTCAAGTTGATGTGTCTGGAAACCGGAAGGCTGTTGTTATCCATATTCCATATAGACTGAGGAAGGCTTATCGCAAGATCCATGTTCGGCTCGTGAGGGAGCTCGAGAAGAAGTTCAGTGGGAAGGTGATTAGTGATTTATGTTCTGTAGTTGTCTGTATTGCTTAGAACCTAGAGTTAATTGAGTCTAGTTTGTGTGTGAATTTGTAGTGGCCTTGCTTCTAGGCATATTGATCTTTTAGTTACTGGTTTTGATCTGCTTAGCTAGCTTTTCTGGTTTGCTTGTCTTTTTTGTGAGTGCCTTTTTTTTATTATAGTTTTTTGCCTCTTATGTATATCTGCAATCTAGGTGACTAAACTCTCATATACACACACTTATATTTGTTTGCAAAATTTGATTGTCTGGTGAGGCTTATAGTGCCCTTTTGGTTTGTCATATGGTAGGATGTTATCCTGATTGCCACACGTAGGATATTGAGGCCTCCAAAGAAGGGGTCAGCTGCCCAACGTCCCCGCACTCGTACTCTGACTGCTGTGCACGAGGCAATGTTGGAGGATGTTGTTGCGCCTGCTGAGATTGTTGGCAAGCGCACCAGATACCGTCTTGATGGATCCAAGATAATGAAGGTAAACTATCCTAAATTTTTTTAATGGAAATAAATTATTTAGTCTCTGCTATATGACATCAACATTAAAAAAATTAAGTCTGCTCAAAAGATGTTTGCCTTGCAAAACAGGCATTTTGATACACAAGTTGATAACATAGTAGACTGAGTAAGATAGACATTGTAACAGATCTTTATTAAAGTGCATGTATCCATTGTACCAGTTGCTCTGTTGTAAACCACTGTATTGTACAAGTTTCTCTGTTGTAAACCATTGTGTTTCTCGATTAATTGCTGAGTTCTGACAACCCCTTGCTAGATCAAGCAAATTAAAGCTTTACTTCCGAATTTAATGCTTGTTTGATACAACTCAAATATGTTCCTTTGTTCGAAAAATACGATATTTATCTCTTAAAGATATTAAATTATAAAATCTTTATTCTTTAAATAAAAGCTACAATATTTATCACTTATTTCTTGATGTTGGGCAGGTGTTCTTGGATCCCAAGGAACGAAACAACACTGAATACAAGCTGGAGAGCTTTTCTGCAGTTTATCGGAAGCTTTCTGGAAAGGATGTTGTGTTTGAGTACCCCATCACTGATGCATAGAAATATTTTGTGCAATCGCACCTTTTAATTACTCTTCTCCCCTTTTCCCTTTTGTTCCCTGAAGAACTGCAATTCAGCAGGCAGACAATTTAAAATTTTGATGTTGAGGACGTGGTTTAGGATAGCCTTTGAAGGATTTTGTTCTCTTCATTATTAGCATATTTATGTTGACGTGATATGGTTTACTGTGATTTTCAATCTCTCTTTTTGATAGTCTTGTTTTATTCAGTGTTGAATCTTTTCAAAATTGTTATGCATGATGTTGGTTTGGTGCCACTTAATTTCGGAAACGCACCTTCTCTTTAGCATGGTCTAAAAAACATGGAAATTTTGATGGAAATATCGGGATATTATCGATATCGATAAAAATTAAATAAAAATCACGGAAATTGTAAGAAAAACTTGGAAATTTTTATTGAAACTTTGGAGAATGTTTATTTAGTCAATTATCTATTAGTTTATTAAAAAAAAAAAAAAGGGAAATGCATTACATAATGGATTTAACTAATTTAAGTTGATTATACAGCGAGCTAGCAAACACTGTGAGTGTAGAAAATATGTAGTAATTAATGAAAACAAGATTAAACACACCATAATCATTCATATATAATGATTTACTACAATATTTTACACTTTATACATTGCATGATAAGATACATGAGTGACTTAGTACCACGTAGAGTTCCTATGAGGTTCAAATTTTTCACTATCTTCATCATCTCTATGTGTAGAGTAAGTGTATTGTGAAGAGTATTCATCAAATGATAAATTCCCAAAATAATTTTGCATGTAATTGTTAACATACCACCCGTATAAATATAAATATGGTGGCAAAGGTGTTGGAGGAGTAAAATGGGAGGGTTTCAAATCCCCCCCTGTGTTTTTTTTCCCCCTTTTCCCCCCCTTTTTTTTTCCTTTTTTTTTCCTTTACATTGATATTTTCGATATTTTAGCGACATTACACCGATATTTTGACAAAATATTGCTGAAGTGTGAGCGAAATTATTGACATCGATATTTTCCAATATTATCATCGATATTTATACAATATGTACATAGATATGTTCCGAAATATTCGTGATTTGAAAAAACCGAAATATCCTCAATATTTCGTCGATATTATCGATATTTCAGACTATGCACTTTAGCACTTCAGTTTTAGGATTGCTGCCGCTTTAAAAAAAAACTGCTTCTATTGTGCTTTAAAAAGAATCATCTATTAAGTAAAGCAATTAAACGTTTGGTAAACTGTAATTTTAAAAGTGCTGTGAATATGAAAAGTACTGTCAGAGCGTTTGGTAAATTTTACCCATAAAAGTGCTGTAACTATTTATAATGACTAAAATGGACATGATGCTGAAAGTGCTTTTTACTAATCTTTATATAAATATGTATGTATTGGAAGATGAACATGTTATAGCAAATAATGTTTTTACTAAAAACATGCATAGTGCCTAAGTAATTACCTATAGGAAAACTTGGGCAAAACTACATACATCAAAAGCAATACACCAAGTCGTACAAGATGACAAGGATTCAAGCACACTCCTATATATTTTTCCCTTATTTTTGGGTTTGCAGTTTTGATATTTATTCACAAAACATAAGCTTTACAAAAAATTAATGAAAGTCAAAGAAAAACTATACATATATCACTTATGGAAAATAAAAATAAAGAGCAAATTTTTATTTCTTTTATTTAATCAAGCTCTCTAGAAAATAAAAATAATAAACAGTAAGAATAATACATATAACAGTTATGGAATAAGAATAATACATATATCAGTTATGGAATAAAATTCTATGAATTCATGAGCTTTGTTATAACTATTTTTGTGTTTTTGTTTTCTTCTTAATATCACAGCTAACCTACAGAACGCACCAATTCATTCTCTATCTACTCACAGCAACAAATTTGAATGATTCTAAAAGCATACAATGATGACATCATCAATGGGGATTCCATTCAACCCTGTGGCTGCAGCAAGGTCACTGGGTATCCAGCCTCACTCACTTGTGCATAAGCCAAGCATATCAGATGGGTCTTCAATGGTGGCTATATTTAGTGACCCTAGCAAATTTCGAGAGATTGAAGAGATTGAAGAATAAATATATCCCAGAAAATTATAATCAATAACTTTGAAGAGATTGATAATCTACCTTGTGAAAGAGATTGAGAGAGATTGAGCCTTGAGAGGCTACGTGAAGATGAACTTTGGTGTCTGCAGATTTGAGAGAAATACGTGAGGATAATTACCTAACCTAATAAGGGTATTTGTGGAATTGCGAAAATTTCATTAAAGGGAGAGCGCTGCTTCAATTGAAAGCAGCTTTAAAAAGCAACCCCGAGGTTGCTTTTAAAAGCTGTTGTCAAAAGACCATTACTTTTAAAATAAGCAGGATATTTTATTTTTACCAAACACCTTAAACTGCTTAACTTTAAAGTTAAGCAGGTTTTTGGCCAAAAAAAGCAATCCCAAACGGAGCCTAACTCACTCACACTCAATCCAACTTAAACCGCATTGGTCTCTTCAGTATTTCAGTTTAACATTATCAAAATTGTTCTTGGTTATCTGGAAGTTTTTTGCTTTGCTGAAAAACACTTCCAAAGACTATTAGAACACTAATACAATCCCCAAAAACAAAATTCATTAGCATAAATAAGATATCTGAGATCCACAGCGTTGGAAAGAATGAATCTACACAAGTTAGTATGATGAAAAAATCTCCTCGCATGGACAAGTTGGTGTCAGGACTTCTCATCAACTGAAATTTTTACCAGATTTTGTATCCTGCTGCACTGCACAGATGGAGGGAAAGTGATTGAGCTAATAGGCAATAAGAATGACAGAAATATAACCATTTTAGTAATAAGTATTTCAATTAAGCTATGGCATAATATCATAATCACAGAAAGATCCGAAGGGGGCTCTATATCAAGCGGTCAAGGACTCAAGGTATGGTGGAAGCAAAGCATACCTCAAGACAAAATCACAAGACCGAGGTACATGGCTCCGCAGAGAAACAAGAAAGATATAAACCCCCTACAAGTAAAGCTCTTCAGAGTCAGAAAAAACCACACAAGTACAGCATAAGCGCATCCCTTGTAGTTTGTCCAGCAAAAGAAAGGGAAATGCAGAAAAAGCAAAGAAGGAAAGCTCTCAGACATAAATCTTATTAACAATAAGAAGCTCACCAAATGACACCCCATCCACAACCAGTACAGCAAGGACACTCTTCTGCGAATTTCTCAGCATCACTAGAATGAACTCTACGGGATATAAGATCGTCATAGATATCTGCATTATCACAATTAAACATTAAAAGACAATACATATACAAATATGGACAGTTAACTTGAGGATCAAATAATTTGTTTCTTCCCATACCATAGACCGAAAACAAGGAGTTCATTACACCTGTATTCCACAAAATAGAACCAAGAGTTATTAATTAATCCCATCTTACGCGGGGAACAAAAACGACTTGTAGCCTACTTTAGTAAAGCACACATGAAAAAAGAAACTAGAAGAGTTGCAATTACCAGTGAACAGAATAATATATCGAAGTATACGAACTTTTGTTGTTTCTTGCAGAACCCAAATTATACCGAGGAAAAGAATGAATCCTGGTGGTCAACATGTAAACATGAAAACATCCAAATGTCATATTGCATCCTGTGCTAGTCATAGGAAGATGCGTTACTGGAAACTAGAACACATACCTATACAAAGTCCTCGAAGTGTCCACTGCACATTATCAAGCAGCACAAACACAACAGGATAAGGATTTTAGGCAGACATTCAAGCAAGGTTAAATTCCTTGAAGACATATAAAAGCATAAGCTCTGGAATATAAGGAATGCAGAGGTTTCTATACTGTCATCGTGTGAGAAACTTATGCATTCAGTATGCATGAAATCTAATGTTAAACTGTTGCATGTACCCACTCCAATACTTATAGGTGCATTTTAGCATAGAAAGCAAGGTAACAGGCAAAATCAAGTAAAAGATTAGTGAAATAGTACTTACATTTTTAGCTATAAACAGTACAACCAGCAGAGCAGCAATAAAACACCCAGCAGCTATTCGTGCAGTAAGAAGATTTGTAGATGCAAGAATCAATAGCATCCCCCAAAAGGATGAACCAAGATCTGGCGTGCAATGTAAATGGAAAAATTACATCAGAACTTATTTGGACACAGCTCTCAAAATGAGGAGAGCTAAAGATGTACTAACTGAAACATAAAATAGGTCAGAGATAAAGTGGAATTACATCCAGCTGGCAAAATCAACCAGTATACACCACCACGGGTTTGTGTGGTTCCACCCTCATCTGCATGAACTTGAATCCCTTCCACCTGCAAACTAATCTGTATCATTACCTGCCCCAAATAAATGAATGACTTTCTAAACTTAGCCAATTACGAAGCTACCTAGGTCAAAATTTGACCTCACCAACATGATGAGTCAGAGAGAGAGCAGATACTCAAGAAATTACGAGTTTTCATTAGGATATCGTAGCAAGGCACTCTGCTGCAATGTATCAATATTAGCAATGCAAACTTAACAATGTACTTCCATTATAACTCTACTATTGAAGAAAATATAGGAAATGGCATTAGTGCTGGAAGAAAATTGATTTTGTCCCTCACTTGAGTTATCAGTCACAAAAATTATACCACATAAAATTCATTAATTCAACAACCCTAGAGCAAGGCAAGGCAGGCATTCTGTTGCAATTTACCAACATGCGCATTATGAAAATTTTATAGGAAAATATGAAAGAACAGAACTTCTTACATGACCACATGTAAGTTTACAAGCAATAGCATGGCTCGCCTCGTGAAGAAACACAGTGACAAGCTTAAATGGTCTCAGCAGTATTGTCCTCCACAGCTACAAGAATCAAAGAATGATTTAATATACATGACTTGTAAACAGTACAGCAGAAGGAGTATTAACACACTAAAAAAAGTCATAATTAGACAGAAAATATCCATGAAAACATCTTGCTTTCAAAATGATTGTAGTTAAGATGATTCTTTAAAACAACGTATCACCTATGTTGTTTAGTTTCTAGTTTTTTTGAATCTGTTTCAGCTTCTGCGCCATGGGACTACTTTTTGTTTTTATGTTTTTTGGGAACTGACAAGGGACTTCAATAAGCAAGTGAAATTGAAATATGGATTTCATTCATATTTAAAATATACAACAAGAAAAGA